ACCCATGCATCTATCCAGACAGAGATGACTTGGTTTCAGTAATCTACAATCTGGTAACCTTCAAGTTAGCTTACTGCAATACGTTCCACATGGGGCTGCCCATGAAAATGGTTTAGAAACTTCAGTTTGTGCAAAATGAAGCAAGCAGATTAAGGTCTGACCATACAAGACCAATTCAGAAGTTCCAAACATACAAGACCAATTCAGCATGCTAGTTTTAACCTGCAAAACCCTCTTGGCTTGGGACTGACATTCTCCAAACAGCATCTCTATGAATCTGAATTCACCTTAATGTACAGTTTATATCTGTAACCTTCCTTGAATACCACCTCCAAGGAAGGCTTGAAGGGTGGAGACAAGGGAGAGGGCCTTCTCAGTAATGGTCCCCAATTCTGAGTCCCAGCAAGCACCAACCGGGTCATATTTTTGGCACCGGCTTAAGAATGTCCTCTACTCACAGGCATTTAATGGCATATGATGAGACCTGTCAGCTATTTTAACAGACATTCTTTTTAATAAAAAAAAAATTAGTAGTTCAAACCACTTTAATCTTGTATATTGAAACTTTATGCTTCCTTTTATTTTATCTATATTTCAGCATTGCATCTATGTTTTGTATTGTCCGAATTGCCATGATTCACTCAGCAAGTTCAGCTATGAGGCAACATAGAGATGAAACGAAGTACCACAGATTGCTTTGTATGGTGTGAAGGTTGTCAAGGACTTTAGGAAAACTGAAATCTTGGCTCTTATAGCTGGCCTACAGGTGCTAACTGAATGACGGTTATCCACAGAGGTAGTGGCTGCAACTCGGCAACTTAGAGCCAGTATGGTGTGGTGAGTGCAAGCATGAGACTGGGACTCAAGTGATCTTCTCTGGAGCCATCTGGATGACTTTGGGCCAGTCAAACTCTAAGCTCTAAGCCCAACCTACCTCACAGGGCTGTTGTTGTGGGAGGAGGAGGAGAATTATGTAAGCTGATTTGAGCCCTTGGTAAGAAAAAAGGCAGCATATCAATCAATAAACTTGCACAATAATGACAGCTCAGAATAAGGCTTCTGTGACCAAAGAAACTGAGAAATGGTACAACTCTCACAAGGGGGTGGCCTACATGTTTGTATATGCAGGAGGTGATGATGGATAAACCTAGGATAGTTGAAACTATAGAAGAAACTATATAATACAAAGAAGACTTTAGAGGGGGTTTTTTTTGGGGGGGTGGGGATGTTAAACTCTTTTGTTGGACATATAGTAAGTTTGTCGACCTGCCCTGATTTTGAGGAACAGTTACTTATTAAAAAGTTAGTGCTTTCAGCCTGTAAGGATTGATAATATTCCCTGACTCATCTTACAGATCTGTAAATAAAGATGTCACAAAAGGACATGCATTTCTGATACTCTCTCATCATGAGAAAAATGATGGTCATTCTACCAGCTGGAGCAGCTGTTGTCTACCTGTCTGCCTCTCTGTCTGTCTTTCTGTCCATCCATCCAATTTCTATACCACCCAATAGCCAAAGGCTCTCTCGGTAGGCTGGCATTTAGGGTAGATTTGTGACTTAATTGTTGGCAAGGCCGTCTTAATGCATGGGCCTGATAGGCACTTGCCCGTGGGCCCCATACTAATCTGTGAATGTTAACCCTTGGAAAATCGGAAAACTTCCAAAATTTAGAATAGTTGTAGTTGTCGTAGGGGCCCCAGTACACCGCTTTGCCTGGGGCCCATAATGCTGTTAAGACGGCCCTGATAGTTGGAGGTTGAGAACTTTGCCACTTCAGGCTGTAGAATCTTACCTTTCTAATTGCATAGCAGGCTATATAGTCACAGCATTCAGAAAACTAGCAGAATCAGAGTGAATTTTTTAGCAAATTCTTTTCCTGATGTGCTAGCTTACTATAGCTAGGGTGGTGGTGATTATTATTCAAATGACATTCAAAATATGATGAGGCACGTACCTGCAGTCTGAAGTAAAACAGCCTAATATCATACCCATGCTGCTTAGTTGTGCTTATCTCATGCATAACTGCATTCTGCTATTAAATTTTGCAATCTATGCAAAATGTAGAAAATGTTCAAGTCTGACAAATGCCTCAAATGTTATTATCAGTGTGGACAGAGTTGCAGAATTTGGAGCAAAAAGCACTAATATCATTGGTCTGGATCACTGGGTCAGCAATCCCTTACTTCCTACACATTGAAATATAACTTTCAAATCAAGTGGAAGCTAAATCAATATTAATTATAAGCAGTGCTACAAAACAGAGATGGAGAACTCTGTCAGTTTCATGTTTGCTTACTTTCTCATTATTCTGGTCCTGTTCATTTCTTCTCATTCACTCATCACTCTGCAATTTTTGTCAAACTGACATACAATATTGTATTCATATTCACATTTCTCCTAATAAATGCAAATAAATGCATTTTTAAGCAATTTTCCCTAAGAGAATGGGCTTTTTGGTATTTTCATGAACATACACATTTTTGTGCACACTTTCCCTTAATATACAGATTTGTGTTGGAATGTTTTGATTGGAAAACTGCATTGTAAAATTTGAAAAATTGAGAATATCGAGGTGTTTTTAGTTTTATGTGTTAGATCAGGAAGTGTGAAGTTGGGAAATCTACATTAAAATGAGAACCAAATGAATTGTGGGGACTGAGCTGTTTCTCCCAAAATAGAGCATTCAAGGGTGGGGATTTCAGACTTAGCATCTGAATGGTAAGAAGAGGTGGGTTCAAATGCTTTTCTGAAATGGCAAGGTCTGAAGTCTGAGGTAGGTTAGAACCAGATCACCTCTGGTTTATGGGTAGCAAGGAGAGACACTGTGGAAAAGGGAGGCTTGGAGGGGCGGGGGGGTGACTTGTGAGCCTGGTGATTTGTCATCAAATGAAATGAGCAGATCAATTCAGTGATCAAGTCAATGGTTGAGAATTTCTGCTCTCTGGCTCACAAGTATTGTGGACCTTCCTGAGGCTAGATCCAACTCTGTTTGGTGAATATGAATCTTGGTATAGGCAAGAACTGATTCTTCAAATGAGGGAGACTAACTTGATGGATGGCACATGCTAACAACCTTTAGCATAATAAATATAGTTGTTGGAAGCCTTCTCATGATTTTCTGGGAAGGGAAAATGGGGAGAGAGAAATTCCAGCTCACAGAATGGATTTTCTCCTAACCCTAGTATCATGTTAACTGTTAATAGTTAATGTGAATTGTCTCTGGAAGTTTTAACATTTGTTAAAATTAGAATATTTTATATACTACTTTCCACTCTAAGGCTTCCAAAGAGGTTGTATAAACAATACAGCATTCTAAAAGCACAATAACAATTTAGACCATTTCAGGTTAGACAGAAAAAGGTAAAATAGCATGTTTTCATAATCACTAAAAGCACATGATCATCAATGCCTGATGTAGCAACAGTGCCTGACCTAATTCCTGTGTGAATGTATTATTCCATTAGAGAATAGTTTGCAACTTGAGGGAAGTATTCCAATACATGTAGTAGACATCTAACAAGAAATGGGTTTTGACTTCAGCAGTTCAAGGTGGTGCTTCTTTAAGCACTCTTGAAAGAGTACTTTAAGTACATACCCTTAAGTCACAGAGAAATTAAAGCTGACATTTTGAGCACAAAGAAGTTTTGAGCAGAACTGTGTAATGGCAACTTTTATGATTATCTGGGGGAGGGGGTTTGCCTAACTAAATCTTTCAAAATGGCAAAAGAGCAATACATGATTAATGATGCCATATAAAAGAGAGCTGCATTTGCAGAAAAAGGAAAATTTTCTTCACAGCCTGAGAATATATTCCTAATCCACCACATTTTGATGTATTTGTTGAGAAAACCCTTGAACATACATTCAAAAATACAACACAGTGCTGGTTAACGAAGGTTCTTCTTCATTTCAAATAAACTATAGCACAATTCTATAAATCTTAGGAACAGATCATCATAAGTGATATCATTTGGAATGGATTCAACCTATTACTTTCAATTTCTTTTTCTCCAGTCCTTAGTTTGTTCCTTTAATTTACCACATCAGTTTGCATCTTTAAAAAAAGTCCACCTACATAAAAAGTCCACAATCTCATACATATTTTTGTTTGCATTTCTCCTAATAGGCAAAGTTTTGTCTCATTTATGCATTTCTTGTAAGTGCTTTTATATGATGATGTTTCATACTTCTGTTTTCACCAGTCATAGCAATCCTATCCAATCCAATTTTGTAGCAATCCTATTCCCTGCCCAGACATTACCGGCGGGCCATAGGAAATTTCTGATTCCCAGATGCAAGACCAGCACTTTGGGAATCTGTGGTAGAAAACCCCAGCAACTCTTGCAGCTGATTTGGAAAGGTTGGAAACTTGACCTTAGAGAGTGTCTACAGGAGATGGTCCAGTGGGTGAGGATGGGAGGAGATTGCAGAAGCCAGGTCTGCAGAATCCTTCCCTGATCCAGAATGGCCAAGCTTGACAGTGACAAATGGCCATCTGGAAAAATGCAGAGCAGGAGGAGTGAGGATGTGAAGCTTCTTTCTGCTATTCCTGCTGTTCTTCATTGGATCATTGTTACCCTCCAAGTTCAGAGGCTAGTGAAAGCTGGATTGCACACTAATGTATACATTTTTAGCCACATTTCCCCTAACATATGCATTTCTTGAAAGTGGGTTTCCCTTATACAATGCTGTTTGATACATTCTTTCCATCAATACATGCAATGCTTGAAAGTGTTTCTCCCATATGTGATGCTGTTTCATACCTTGTTCCAGTAATACATGCATTTTTGTGCACACTTTTCCTGAATAAATGCATTTTTGTATGCATTTTTGTTTGTAACTCAAGTTACTGAAGATGTGCATATGCCAAAGGATAATTGTGTTCTGCTTACTACATTGGTACAGGAAATGGGGATTTGGTGAGCTGGTATCAAAATGTGAACATTTCCTCCATTCCTAATTAGTAGTGTGTGGAGTCTTATGGACTCTGCCATTACCTGTGACTTTCAGTCTGTCAGCTCCAATGACAATCTCTTCTTCATCAGCAGAGAAGAGGACCCTCCCATCTTCACTCGAGCTCACTTCGAACCTTTTACACTGGGCTTCTACAGCATCAGCACCTAAAGCAGACAAAAGAAAGCCTTAGGCCAGAACCCAATATCCCTTTGCATGAGCTCAAGCAGTTATACTCCCAATCTCTAGCAAAATGAGTGTTTCTGGAATTAGCTGTTCTGGCCGGAGCGTGTAAGAGCCACGATTCACAACTTTTGGCGAACACCAGCTTGGGGGATGATGATATACCTGACCCGCCTCCCCAGTGAATGTGCAACAGCTACCCATTTTCAGGAGCATGTGAGCCAGTTAAACACCTAACGGTCGTGTTCTTGAAGGGTATTAAAGGTAATTTTCTCACATAATTATTCATCTTGGACCTTATTTTACTGATTTCACTGGAAGAAAATGAGACTTAATGTCTGCAGTTTAAATGTTTTCAGCAACTGTTGATGTAGATATAGCAGCCCAAACCAAGAATAATTCATGTGGTTAGGTGTGATATTAACACACATGGTGATTCCCAGTGCTGGCCTAGTTTAAGCCCTAGTCATTTCAGTGGGACTATTCTAAGCAGGATTAATATCAGAGACAACACATAGCTGGAATTTTGTCTCCATTTCCTAGGGAAAGCCACAAATATTCTACATGGATAGGGTCACACATCAGAAGTGTTTAAAAATGTTAGGAGGGGATAATTGTTGGCATTCCATTATAAAAGCAAGAGGCCTCCTTGCTTGCATATATTTATATATTTTTCAGATCGAAGTTCATTGCTTCAATTCAGCACTTGTATGATATTGCAGGGTAATCCTAACTGCTAAATGTGAGCCTGGAGCTCAGACCATCTTGGCACATTATCTTTTGGATGTACTGCCAAAATTTTAAAGTGTGCACTTAAAAAGCAACGTGCGAATGAAGCAATTGTATTGTTGGAACTATATCTTCTATTGTAGCCATTGAAGGCTGGTCAGGAGCTTATCTTATCTGCTCACCTTCATGCTGAACTTTAAAGATGGTGCTGAATCCACTCCAGGGATAAGGTTCAACTATCCGTGGTGCTGAGCCCTATAAGCTAGTTTCAGCACCAGGGACAGTTCCTTTAGTGTTTAGAATAGAATCTGGAGGAGATAAGAAGCCCCAGTAAAATTGGAGACTGCCAGCCTCCACTGATTACAAACACATTAACTATCTAGCAAAGGGTGCGAAGCGTTTTTCATCAATAATAGATTTGTTTTCAACTCCAAGCCTGCTGTTTTGTATTGCATCAAATCTCTTTATTGTGGCCATCTCTGCTCACATGGCTTATATCTCTTTTTAAGCAGTTAACTATAATTCCAATAAATGATTTATTTCTTTTTATGCAGATATTTATAATAAAGAAATACACCTATTTTGGCCATCTAAAAGGTCTTGTTATCCACATTTCCTGTTTGATCCCCATGTATCAACATGTCCATGTCCTAAATAAATGTCACATCAAGTTATCTATCAGAACAGTCAGGATTTAATCAAACTCTCATTTACTTGTTTATACTTGGAATTAAATCACACAAGCACAATACTAAACCTTTTATTTAAATAAAAAATTTCAACCTATAGGAATATATATAAGTATTTTGTATACCATTCATACCTTAATAAAGATTTGTCACATGCATATTGCAAGAATTCACAAGGACTCCAATTGTGAAATAAAGAATAGTCTTATTTGACCAATAATTAAAATAGACTAACATAGTGAATCTATGGCCCCAGGACAGTATTTAGTGGACAACAAGCGTTTTCACTGTCACAGTTCTGTAGTTGGAAAATAGTTTTAACACTGGAGCTGGGATAAATGCTCAGGTTGGCCTCCTCCACACTACAGGCAAACTGGAAAGAAACACATCCATTGCATCTCTGAAACGATAAGGCTGATCTCAAAGAAAGGCTACAGGGAGCGTTCTAGGAGGAGGGAGAGGAGACAAACAGGGTTATGTGTATTTAGTTAGAAGAAATCCTATGCATGTGTAGTTAGAAGAAAAGTCCTACACCTCCCAGCATTCATTACCCAGCCATTCCTGGCCAAAGAATGCTGGGAACTGAAAGTCTTTTTTGAGTCCAAATATTCATACCATTGTACCCTTACCTGCCTGACAAAGTTCATGGAGGCATCTGAATTTTCTTCTCCTGGATAGGATGTCCATAATCCTCCATGCCTGGAGGTTTACAGGCATTCCCATTGGATTATACATTAAACCACTGTACAGAAATTTCAATTTTGGTTCAACAAGACCAATGGATAAAAACACTAGCATGAAAAAAAGGCTAAAGTTGTGAGATTTTGTGGTTTGCACAAAATGCAGGCGTCTGGCTGAAAAGACACAACAATGCATATAATGTTGCAGACTGTTACACAGTTTATGTTACCAGAGTCACGTTTTTGTTTGTTTCTTTTAAGTCTCATCTTGAGAAAATGACAAAAAAGTCAGTAGCTGGAGAATTGTGAGGCTAAGCAATTCAATACATGTATTCACTGGAGATTTTCTGTTGAGCAGATAATATGATAAAGACTGAAGGCTTCTCTCCATGAAGTGTTTAATCCACCTCGTCATTGAGGTATCTTCCATTTTCTTTGCAGGAGAGCAAGTGCAAGAGATTTTGAGGATCTGTGTGTTTCTATGCCTTTGTATTCCATAATCCAACCACAAGGTGGTGCTGTGTTACAGCTGCAATACAACAAGATTGTGACAATACACAAATCTTTCTTTCTTTCCAGTTTTATTCCCCCCCCCCCCGTGTCTAAAAATTAATCGCTGACCTTCCTTGCTCTTAAAAAAAGCCAAGAAAATGGCTGAGAAACATGGGAGAGGCTGTGGAGTAGACATTGTAATGAAAAGGACTCGGGCACTTCCATGAGTGAGGGAGCATGAGGGCTCAATAAATGGCTTGTGTGGAGAAGCCCTTGAGCATCAGTAAATGCGAACAAGTGTGGTAAATTTAAGACTGGTGGGATATGTTCCATATGCTTGGCTTCAGTTAATAAGTTAGGTGCCAGTTTGCAAACCATCTTCAAGGGCAATACAACTTAGTGGAAATGCAGAAGACATAAGTTTGAGGAGCTCGGTGGAGTGTTACCCTTTTCCCGATCCCACCTGTATCCTCTTCAGGCTTGGATCCTTAAATGGTTAAGTATTCTCTCTCTCTCTCTCTCTCTCTCTCTCTCATGTGTGTGTGTGTGTGTGAGTGTGATAGATAGTTTCAAACTTGAACCAAGGTTGACAGGAAATATCCAGGAGAAGTACCACTCATCTGTGTTAGCCCTGTCGTGGTGAAGCAATTGGCCTTGGGCAAAGGCAAAAGCTAATCATACCTGATCACTATACTCAGAACAACAGGTGATTTATAAAGGCTTTATAGTACATGAGAAAATCGTCTGTTAGAATGAGCCTTGGCATAGACCTGAACTTTGCTGCGTGCCAGCCCCTTCCAGTGGTCCATCCATTGTCATTTCTTTGAGGGCTTCCTGACAGTGGCAGGGATTCAGGCATTATTCTTTCTTGTTCATGCTTTATACTCTGTACATCACAGCAGAACTCTCTTGCTTTGCATAGTTAAACAATGCTTTTGCATATTGTATTCTGAAATGTTATTCTTTTGCTCCATGCCTCATGGCTTAATTAAGTCACTTTCACTCAAGTAGTTTGCATATTGCTCCTGAATCCTCTTAAAGAGAAACAAAACACAGTTTCCTTTTGGCTATACCACAACCCACTGCAACAATCCATACCAGACTATGGATAAATGGGGCAAGGCTATCTCTGCCCAGGGGTGCTGTCACTGACACAATAGTCTAAGCTGCTAGATGCATTTCATGCTATTAAAGGCACTTGGGCCCACAAAGAGTCAAGCCTCCTCTAGCAGCACTTCCACAGAGCAAGCCTGGTGCTTCAGAGAACTGCCATACTGTGCCTCAGTGACAGAAACCATGCTTTCCATGCAGAATGTCTCAGTCTCACATTCTGGCATCTTCTGCTCAAAAAGGATAAGGACCCAGGTCATGAAAAATCTCTGCCAAGGACCCTGGAGAGATGCTGGCAGCCAAATAAGGAACATTGAGTTAATTGGACAAATAACCTGACCTGGCGTAAGGCAGCATCCTGCATTGCATCCTCATCGACCAACAGGATCTCAGAGTTGTGGAAACGCTGAACACATGCTGGAGGCAGTTTTGGAATGGATAAAAGTATTCATCCAAAGAAGATGGCAGTCTGCCAGAAAGACCATGCTATTCCTGGTGGTTTCAGTTACTAAAGTTCCTTTTATTGAACATAAGAGACATCACCTTCTCAGTTGTCAACCCGGGGTTTGTGAAGCTCCCTCCCATGGGATGTATGATTGAGTCCCTTTGATATTGTTTTCAAATTGGCCTTGAAGATCAGCATTTTTCATGGTTGCTGCGTTCAATGGCCAGTTATTCTGTGGATTTTTCATGGTTGCTGCTTTCTTAATTAGGTTAAATTATTTAGGGTTCATCATTATAAACATAGCATTTATATCCGGTCCACATGAGGGAAGATGACCAAAATGACTGCACTTCTATATGATATTATGCAATCCATGATGTCTTTAACATAGTTATTTGAACTGAAATGGTTTAAAGCTAGCATGTGTTTAAAACAAACAAAATCAGTTCAGAAAGACCTTAATTCAAAACCAGAAAGACTTTGACCTAAGATGGTGCCTAAGAAAATATAATGTTAGATCATGGTGCATGAACTGTACTTCCTTTCCACAGTTCTGCTGAAGTGTATATACCATTACCCCAAGGATGGGCATGGACGTTTATGAGTTTGCTTTCTTCAGGTTCCTTACAAGCCATGCTTGGAACCCATTCCAAGTGTGGGTCCAGCTCATAATGGACTCATTCCTGCTTGTGCCAGTGTTCCTGCTCCATTGCTGGTTACTCCTTTCCCCAAATGCTTGTGAAGGAAAGGGCTCTGGTGATAAGGACAACTTTAGAATGCTTATGCTGATTATCTACTGCTGCCAGGAACCCTGGATAGCAGAGTTCCCAAGTGTCTCT